AATGTTATAGTTTCCCCTAAGTAGTCTCTCACGTGTGAAGCTGTATCTCTGTCTGTGTAGAGTCGTTGTGAGTGCATTTGCTAGTAGATTAGAGGCGTTTCTGTTTTTCAAATTGAGATATATTTACAGGGAAAATATAGGACAAATTAAAATGATATTTAGCTTTCTGCAAGAGTTTAAATTGGCTTTTTGACATTTTGCATCTTATGGTTTTGCTATACTAAAATACTTTCATGTAGCAAATAAGGAAATGTGAGTTTTAGAAGCAAGGTTACAGTACTTGGATGTTCACATAACATTGATCCAGGGGTAATAGCACGTGAGGAGCAGTTGGCAGTGCTTATTTTTATGCCTTTTGTTTTCTCTGCTACTAAGTTGTTTTTTTTTTTTTTTCCTTGAGTTATGCGGGCCTCTCACTGTTGTGGCCTCTCCCATTTGCGGAGCACAGGCTCCGGATGCGCAGGCTCAGCGGCCATGGCTCACGGGCCCAGCCGCTCCGCGGCATGTGGGATCTTCCCGAAACGGGGCACGAACCCGCGTCTCCTGCAACGGCAGGCGGACTCTCAAGCACTGCGCCACCAGGGAAGCCCTGCTACTAAGTTTTTATAACACGAGACTTCTACATTGATTTCTTGGGGACTTAGGGGGACTTTGAGATGGGCTGGAAAGACATTGTGTTACTGAGATAAGGTGGGGTCTCATTCGTCCATGGATGCCTTAAAAAACCTGACTGATCTTTTCTTGATTAAGCAGGAGGATACCGTATTTACCCTTCATTGTTGGTATAAACCATTATTTTACTGAGAACCATTAGCTGTTTAAAACTTGGTACATAAATTAAAGAGGAGCTAAGTGGATCTGTGATCGTTGCCATTAGTAGCGTTTTAGATTATACAGGCAATTATTGTGTTCATTATCTCAGAGCAGCCCCTTCCCAGAGCCATTGTGGCATCTTAGACATTATGCACAGATTTTCCCTTGGAGATTAAAATTTCCAGTAGCGTATTTAATTTTGTTATCACAGTTGTTTCAAATCAAACAAATATTATGACAAGTGGAAGAAAATGTGCTTTACTAATATAGGAAATTAGAAAAATGTTGAAAATTACTTCCTAGTGTACTTACCTTTTCTTATACAGTCATAATTACTTCAGCTGATTAGTAATATACCTTAGGGGTAAAAAGGTCTTGAAATCATAGTAAAAGCTATCTGGCCTGTTCAGATGTTCTAGGAAATTTTTGAAAGAAAGAAGAGTTTCACATCAAAACTCAGCCTACCACCTTCTTTATAGAATCTGTAGCTTTAAAGTTAACTAGCTTTCATATGGAATAGTTTTTGAGTCCAGATTGCATGTTAGACAAGTTGAAGAAACTTTTAAGGGTGTTCTAGTGAAATGAGTATAAAATTGAAAGTGACCTTTAAAAAAATAGTTGAAGTGTCTCTTTTCTTCTCCCTGTGCTTTGTTAGAATTGACCGCCCCCCCCCCCCAGAAAAAGATCATACTATATACTATAGCTCGGTTGCAATTATGTTCCAGGAAGAATAATCATAGTTCAGGAAAGGCTCCTGAAAGAAAGCAGGGAACAGCCCATTACTGAGAAGCTGTGTTTTCTCTGCTAAACCTTTCATTCATAGAAGGGGTTGGTGAAGACGACATTTAGTTATAGTCACTAGTCAGGCAGTTGACCACATGTGTCCTCGTCAATTAGAAAGGTATTAATACTTTGAATTAGCTGAATATCAATGTGCAGTGGGCTGCTTGTAATGTTTCCATCCTATATGGGTCATTTTTTCAAAGGAAACTTTGTCCTCATTCCTGACTGTTTTGTCCCAGCTCTTACAGTCCTTCACTGCCATGATGCAGGGGAAAGTGTGAGGCAGTGGTTATGCATTTTGCAAGACAGTGATTCTTTATTTTATTACAAAAAAGGCCAACTCTGGAAGGCCAGATTAAATCATTCCTTTCACTTTTTAATGGGATTTGGATGAATAGAGTAAAATATGCGCTTTGCATTCATTGATAGCATCTTTACGTTGAGGTAATTGAGTCTTTTTTCGCTGACTGCATGAGTAATGACTTCATCTGACCCTCCGCGAGGCTCGGAACTTAGGCCGTCTTTGTCGCCGCGGAGGGCCCGGGCTTTGAAACATGCTCTAGTTCCCTGGCTTAATTTCTCTTCATTTTAATCCAAAACCCTATTTTTCTCAATAATTCAAGCATAAACTGTATAGTAGTTGAAGTAGCGGAAATTGCAAGGTATTTGTCCTGGTTCTGCCGGTTTTTAAATGGAGTTGATAAATCAGGCGCCACGGTCCTGGCCGCCGCTCTTACGGAGCCCAGTCCCGCTCCACCGGGGAAGCTTCCAGAACCGTCGGCGCGGTCCTTCCCGCTGCTCGTCCCGGCCCAGAGGTGGCGAGCCCGGAGTGGCTGGCCCCATTGCCCACTCGCCCGGTCACTGCGCTGGAAGTGACCGCTAGGGGGGCAGGGCGCTTCCCGCAGAGCCCTGCAGACACGGCCGGCCTGGCCAGGAAGGGTCTCATCTGCGCACAAGCTGCGCACAGGAGACAGCGCATCTCTAGGACTTGCTTAAAGTCTCTGGGGTTCCGAGTCTGAAGAGCGCGCTCGGCCAGAGGAGACCACGTGTCCCAGGCGAGGGGCGGGGCCTGCTGGGGTGGTGGCTGCGGAGAGGAGGGGCCTGGTGAGGGGAGGGACTTAGTGGGGGTGGGGCCTTGTGGTGTGGTGGGGCCTGGAGGGGCGGGGCCTCTGTGGGTGGTGGCTTGGAGGCGCAGACGCTGCAGAGCCGCCTCGCCCCTGGCCCCGCTCCCACCCCCGGGGCCCTTGCAGGTGGGGACCTGTGGCTCCCAGACCACTGTGCAGACCCTGTAGTGTTGGGTTTGGTGTGGAGGTAGGGCGAGTGCGCTAGACAGACTTTCAGTGGTGTAGCTTCTGGGTCCCTGTTGTCATTCCCATGGTTTCTGGAGCCTTCTAAAGGCCGTGAGGTGTCAACCAACAGCAGTGCTGATGACTGGCAGCTCTGAGAAGTGACTTCATCCATAAGCTTGGTTAGAGAATATTTCTCTTTTGTAGGATATATTACTGGTGTTCGCCTTATACTTCCTACTAGATTGGCTGTTTCTTGAAGGGTAAAATCTCATAGTTTACTCATTTTTCATAACCATAGAGTTTAGCAAAAAATGTAGTAGGTATTTAAACTCGCTTGTATAATGAATGAATTTTCTTCACTGCTGCACTTAACTGGGTTTTCTGACAAAGTTTTATGCTTTCTTTGGAACTACAGGTTCTAATGTTCTCATGAGCCTTTGTGGCAAACCCTAATCAAAACCAGATAGAAACTAAACAGTGAAGTGTGGAAAAGGCTAGCTTTTTATTGGCCAAAGACGTGGTATTCAAAAGGCATTCCAAAATAAACTGGTATTAAGTAGGTTAGTAATTCTAAAAGTTTTAAATTTGAGAATAACAGTATAGTTTTGGTAATCATGTTTTCTTTTTCAAAATTTGTACCAGATTCAGGAGAAACTCAGATGGCAGGTAGATAACCTGATAGGATTCAGTCTTCTGCTAGTGTCACATAAATTACAAATAAGCAGTTCTGTTAAGCACCTGCTGTGCCCTGGCCTGCGGGTGACCAGTAGTGACAGTGAGCTTTGCCACATTGTTTGGGCTTCTCCAGGCATCTCTGTTAGGAGATGGGTAACACCAGTTTACAGAGGAGGTGAGTGAGGCTTTTAGAGTGTAAGAACATTCCCCAAGGTCACACAGTTAGTAAGCAGAGATTCAAATCCAGGTTTTTAGTAATAATAACAATGATAATAGTAATGACAATAGTAATAGCATGCATGTAGGCTTGCTCTTTACCAGAAGCTGTGCTCCCTGTGCTGTGCGTCATCTCTTTCCCCCCACCCCGGGTCCTGTCAGGAAGACATGTTACAGTCCATTTTACAGATGGGAAAACTGATGCTCAGCCTGCCCAAGGTTGTGCAGCCAGGTGGCAGAGCCAGCATTCAAACTAGCCTAAACACAGAGTCTTGAGGGATCTTAACTGCTGTACGGTGTCACTTGTCCTCTTTGTGGCTCTAAAGCCCTTCTACAAAGCCTGGCACCGCCCTCCCCGCTCCTCTCTCTGCCCCCCACGCTGCATTGCACGGTAGTCTTTCAGCAATGACACTAAGCACGGAGCAGGACTTGGTGGAGGTGCTGGGCTTGAAATTGAAGCTGCATGCTTCAGAAGAGCTGTGTTCTCTTCGCTCGTAGAATGGATGGTGTTTGGGTATCTCGTTCTTACAGTCCCCAAGATCCCACACAGAATGCACACAAAAAAGGAACTAATTCTTATTGACATAATTTTCCCTCACGTTTTGCTCAGCTGGCAAATGACCCACAGGATGAATTGGAGTGTTGTGTGCCTTACTGGGAGGACCTGAAGTACAGGACTTCTGCAAATTAACAAGTTGTCATTGCAGGCTAACTACTCCACCTGTTGCTTTTCTTCTTAATTAAGAGAAATTCTTTTCAGGGAGGCTCTTGGCAGAGAGGGATGACAGACATGCTGTCCTGTTCTGAAGAAAATCTGAAGTGATTCCCTGACATGGCACATGCAGAGGAAAAGGCGCGTGTGCTCCCGGATAACTGGCCGGGCTGCCAGGCCGTCCATGCGGCTCTCGTCCCGCATCCCCTTTTGTCCAGTTGCTGGTTGTAACCTCATCATCTAGAGAAAGGATCTGAGTTTTTTGTGGTTGGATACTCAGGACTCGTGTTTTCTCAGTAGACTCTTTCTGGAAATGCTCTGGGGACCATGGGTCACTTTCAGAAATTCTCCCTAAATCTCTAAAAGGCTTTTCAGAAAGAACTGTGAACGTCAGGAGAAGTTTTCAGAAGAAAATGTAAAGTTAGTACATTTTTGTATTTCAGTATAATGAAGGCTAGTACAAAAGAAAATTTAAGAATATGGTTCTGTCCTAACTCTTCATTTTCTTTCAGGTTGGTTTGCTGGACCTTGAGCTCAATCAGCTGACCAAAGCGCTGTTTTTGGCATTGGTTGCCCTCTCGGTTGTCATGGTGACCTTGCAGGGATTCTCAGGTCCCTGGTACCGCAGTCTCTTCCGCTTTCTCCTGCTCTTCTCCTACATCATTCCCATAAGGTGGGTTTAAGAATGAAGAAAAACAGATGTCTGGTTTCATTGAATATGATGTTATTGAATGTATTGTTCTCAGTGTGGAAGAAATGATCCACCTAGAATGAAAGAGGGAACCCCATTGACCCTGCTGTGAACCCCATTGACCCTGCTGTGAACCCCACTGCCTGGTGTGAACCCCACTGACCCTGGTGTGAACTCCACTGACCCTGGTGTGAACCCCACTGCCTGGTGTGAACCCCACTGACCCTGGTGTGAACCCCACTGCCTGGTGTGAAGCCCACTGACCCTGGTGTGAACTCCACTGACCCTGGTGTGAATCCCACTGCCCGCTGGTGTGAACCCCACTGACCCTGGTGTGAACCCCACTGACCCTGGTGTGAAGCCCACTGCCCCCCTGGTGTGAACCCAACTGACTCTGATGTGAACCCCACTGCCCGCTGGTGTGAAGCCCACTGCCCTCTTGTGTAAACCCCACTGACCCTGGTGTGAATCTCATTGCCCCCTGGTGTGAACTCCACTTACCCTGGTGTGAACCCCACAGCCCCATGTGAACTCCACTGCGAGCCCCACCCAGTGCCAGCTCAGCCGGCCTCCTGGGGCTGAGTCTCAGGGTCAGCACTGCCTATCTTAGCTGTTAACCCAGTCCTTCCCGCATGTCCTTCTGCAGCTGCTGACATACAGCTCCTATTCCCATATCTCTTAAGCACATCTTTTTTTCTTGGGAATTCCCAGGGTTTTTTCCTTTGCTTTCATTAATCTTGTTTTTCTTCGTTTCTGTTGCTTGTATCAGTTCTGAAATGTTACGTGGTGTCACTTCACTACTATTTCTGTTGTATGATGCGAAAGGCCAAGTAAGAACTCTCTTCCTTCTTGTTTCTGGGGCACTTCTATCTTTAACTGATAGAAACCATTGAACAATATTCAACTTTTATTTTTTTAATATTTTATTTAATTCTCTTTATTTTTTTTAATTCTCTTTAACTTCTTTCTTTAGTAAACTGACAATGTCAGTATGTATATCCTTTTTTTTTTTTAAGAGTTTCCTGTGCTATACAGCAGGTTCTCATTAGTTATCTGTTTTATACATAGTATCAATAGTGTATATATGTCAATCCCAATCTCCCAGTTCATCCCACCTCCACTTCCCCCCTTGGTAACCTTAAGTTTGTTCTCTACATCTGTGTCTCTACTTCTGCTTTGCATGTAAGTTTGTCTGTACCATTTTTCTAGATTCCACATATAAGTGATATTATACAATATTTGTTTTTCTCTTTCTGACTTACTTCACTCTGTATGCCAATCTCTAGGTCCATCCACATCTCTGCAAATGGCACTGTTCCGTTCCTTTTTATACCTGAGTAATATTTCATTGTATATTTGTACCACATCTTCTTTATCCATTCATCTGTTGATGGACGTTTAGATTGTTTCCATGTCCTGGCTATTGTAAATAGTGCTGTAGTGAACATCGGAGTGCATACTTTGTATATCCTTTTAAAAAGTCTGATTATATGGGACTTCCCTGGCAGTCCAGTGGTTAATAGTCTGCGCTTCCACTGCAGGGGGCACAGGTTCGATCCCTGGTCAGGGAACTCAGATCCCATGTGCCACATGGTGTGGCCAAAAAAAAAAAAAAAGTCTGATTACAAAATGAGAAAGGTACAAGGCTTTCTGCAAATCTGGCTTGTTCTAGTTTTTCCATCAACAATTTTCTATTTAGGGTAACATGTTCGGTCAAGCTTGGGGAGACTTACTAGACAGAATTATGACTGTACCTCTGTTTAGCTTCATGATATCTCATACCTACTTCAGCATGATACTTTTCCTTGTTTTTCACAGTCTGAGGATGCAATTATACAGATTTAGCAGAGGGATGAAAACCATAAAACGTAAAAAGTATAGAGGGCACTGATTTAGGGGCCTAAGGCTTACATTTGACTCAACCAAGTGTTTTCCCATTGCAACGTTTCCATTAAACTATGAGTAGTGATACTTTTAGTATTTACTAAATATGCTTCTGCGTTTAATAAAGAATAGATTAAAATTTTTTTTGTTTTGCAAAATACACAGTTCTGAAAAGTAAAGTGCTTTTTCTTCTACTGACCTAACATTCTTTTTTTTTTTAATTTAATTTAATTTATTTTTTTGTACAGCAGGTTCTTATTAGTCAGCAACTTTATACACATCAGTGTCTACATGTCAATCCCAATCGCCCAGTTCATCACACCACCACCACCACCCCCCGTCACTTCCCCCCTTGGTGTCCATACGTTTGTTCTTTACATCTGTCTGACCTAATACTCTTAAAAGGCTTTTCCAGCTTAAGGAAGAAAAGCTGTTTCATAGAAATTCTCTACAGAATTAAAGATGTTTGAGTCACCTTATCCAGTTTACTTTGTTTTTCAAGGAAAATAGTACAAGACATAACTCCTGTAACTCTAAAATGAATGTATGTTCCTTAGATCGTTGTGTCACTGATAGCACAAAGCAAACGATCAGAACACTTTACGGGGCATGTCACATTCCCTCAGGTCAGCAGCTTGCAGTTACATGTCTCTAATGATTATGTTCTTTGCGCATACGTGTTAAAATGCTGCATAACAGTCTAGGTGGTCAGAAACAACCGTCTTGCCAGTGCTGGGTCAGGAAGGGTTTACCCACGTGAGACGGATGTGGGCAGTACAAGCACGATGGTGTTCCACGAGGCGACAGCGCGTTCCTTCCGAGCAACACTTGAGAACCTCTTGCCAATAGGGTGTGTTTGTGTAAACGCTGATGTCGATGAATGAGAGCTTGTGTGGCTTGGGAGGCAGTTTTCCTCTCATGTTCTGTAGGTCGGGTGGTTGGATCAGCGGATGTGCAGGAGGCTTGCCAGGGAAATGCCCACACGCACATTCCACCATCTGACTGCCCAGGGCAGCGCCTGGTGCCCTGCTTAGAGCTCTGCTCGGTCATTACACCAAGAAGGGAGTGTCGAAAACGTTAGCTACACAGGTACAAAATTCGCTTCCAAAGTTGGAATTAACTTTCCTGAAGTTTTATTGAAGGAAGATTCTTAGGAGAGTTTTGTCAAGTTACTTACAAGTCAGGTGCCCTTTCTGCGATATTTTACAAGTTTGAGCTGACCTACCAGATGTTTTCAGTGAGGCCTCATTTTCCAGGAAGCATGGTTGGGGAAAAGAGCTCTCTCAGCCTTACTTAGACCTGGGAATGATATTCAGTACTGACGGCTTGGGAAACTTTCAGCCATCCAGGTTGCAGAAGATGCTAATATTAGAAGATGCAGCGTTTGGAAAGCACGCACAGGAGAGAAGTCCAAGGATGTGACTGGACAGCCTTTTGCTGAAGAGATTAGGTGTGGCACTCATGGACCCACTTAGCCATCTCAGCAGAAGTGAGGAATAGATGGGGTTGTCCAGCAAAGACCTGTGGAGGAGCCTTTTGTGTGGACGTGTGGACCCCCACGACACACACGAGAGCCCCACAGAGGTTTTGAGAATATTACACCAGCAGTAACACTGCCAGCTTGGACTGGAAGGGACAGAGACAGGACAAGATAAGAAGGCTGTCAGAATCCCAAATTCTGCAGAGGCTGAACATGGGCTGATAGAGCTTCCTAGCTGTAAACGTGTGGTGCGCTTTGAAAAAGGAAGAATACCTCAGAGGCCAGAGCTGGCGTATGGGCCGGGCAGGGGCTGTGGAGCCCTGAGGCCATACCTGCCTTGTGTTCTTGGGGGAAAGCACACCTTGGGCATGGTGTAATACGTCTTCATGTATTACTACGTTCCGTCTGCTTGTAATTTTTGTGAAATTTTTGCATTGGTTTACATGAGTGAGATTGACTTATAACTTTCCTTCTCACATCATTCTTTTGATGTTTAGTATCAAGATTATGCTATTCTCATAAAATATATTGATGAGTCTTCTCTAAAATATTTTTGTTTAAAATTGTAATTATTTACTCCTTGGACATATTTACATCAAGGAGGCCATGTCAGCCTGAACTTTTTGTTGTGGAAAGATGTTTGACAGTGTTGATTTCTTTACTAGTTTAAATATATTTCTTAAATAGTTATAGTTTAAACAGTTAACTTTAAAGAGTTAGAAAAGCTGCTTTCAGGCTTTTAATTTCCTCTTGAGTCAGTTTTGGAAAAGTTACGGTTTTAAGGAAGTATGTCAACTGTACCTAAATGTTCAAATTTTTTTTAAAATTAATTTATTTATTTTTGGCTGCATTGGGTCTTTGTTGCTGTGGGCTTTCTCTAGTTGTGGTGAGTAGGGGCTACTCTTCCTTGTGGTGCAAGGGCTTCTCATTGCGGTGGCTTCTCTTGTTGTGGAGCACGATCTCTAGGTGCATGGGCTTCAGTAATTGTGGCACATGGCTCAGTAGTTGTGGCACGTGGGCTGTAGAGAGCAGGCTCAGTAGTTGCAGGCATGGGCTTAGTTGCTCCGCGGTACGTGGGATCTTCTGGGACCAGGGCTCGAACCTGTGACCCCTGCATTGGCAGCCGTATTCTTAACCACTGTGCCACCAGGGAAGCCCTCAGATTTTTTAAATTAAATTTTGTTGATAGTGTTTCCTTGTTCTCTCTTCTTATATGTAGGATCTGTGATCTTCTTCATTCTTGATACTTATTTCTGCCCTTTCTCTTTTTTTTCTTGATTAGTCTTCCAGTGGTTTGTCAACTTTAGCAGTCTTAAGGTTGAGTTTATTGATTTTCTATGCTCTATAATATTTTTCTATTTTATTAATGTTACCTTACCTTATTTCTTTCCTCCTGCCTTCTTTGGTTTGTATTATTCTTACTTCTTCAGGTAGATGCTTAATTCACTAGTTTTCATGGTTTTTCCCCTTTTTGAATGTATGCAGTTGAGGCTATAAATTTCTCTGTAAGTACTACTTTGGCTGCATCCTAAAAGTTTTCATATGTATAGTGTTTTTGTTATTGTCAACTACAGAATATTTTTAAATCTCCACTGTGATTTCTTCTTTGACCCGTAGT